GCGCGTTCGATTCCCGCGCCTGGTGGCTTGCTTTCTCACTTCCTCTCTTTCTCTCACTCTCTCTCTCTGTGTCTCTCTCTGTCAAATTAAAAATAAATGAATGAATAAATAAAATTTTAAAAAAAGAGACACTTAGCACCCAACCCCGAGGTCTGGCCTGGCCAGTGCTGTACCTGGGTGGTGGGAGAAGGCCTTGGCCCACGACCCAGGAACCCCCAGATCTCTAGACCCCGAGTGTCCTGTGCTGAAGGCTGTAGGCTGTAGGACAGACTGCTCCTTCTCGCCTATTCCCAAAGCCCTTGGGGGTGGGAAGCTGCTGGCCAGGCTGGTGGGAGCCGGGGTCTGTCACCTGCCATGCAGAAGGACTGATGTATGGCCAGGCACGTTGGTACCCCGGTCATCGGCCCACACTGGGGCTTCGGGATTGGGACGAAGAGACTCAGGTTGTGTCCTGGGCTCACTAGGTCACAGCGTCCAAGGCATCAGGACATGGTGTCACTTGTGGCTTAGGTGACATGGCACTGGAGGCAAGGGTGGACAGGAGGGCCTGGACCCCACTCCCTTAACTTTTTATTTTTTTGACATTTATTTATTTAATTCCATTGGTTATTTATTTATTTATTTATTTAGAGAGGTTTTTGCTATAGGGTGTGTGTGCGCTCTCCAGAGAGACAAAGAGACAGAAAACGAGAAATCACCCCCAGGGGGGATGACCACACCACAATCCCTTCTCCTCCATTCTCCTCTTGGGATCTTGGGCACACACACACACACACGCCCGGCGTGAGTTTAAGCCACCCGGTCTGGGACTCAAACCATGGTCGACTACATGAGAGTCCAGTGACATAGCCATTATACCAATTGCTGGTCCCTGTTATTAGTATTTAATTTGACCAGAGACAGACAGAGAGAGAGAGAAAGGAAAGTGGGAAAGCAAGCTGCCAGGTCTGGGACTAGAACCATGGTCAACCATGTGGAAATCCAGCACCTTTAACCAGCACACCACCTGCCAGCCACCCCACCCCCACTCCGAACTTCTCATAGGTCACTAAAGCTTACGGAGGCCGGGTTACCCAAACATCTAATGACAGCTCTGGTACCAGGGTCTGCAGGTGGGCTGGGCATGTCTGAAACTGCCTGGATGCTCTCACATTCTCGCTGCTGTTGCTTGGTCCTTTCCGGTCCCTCTTGCATCCTCCCCACCTCCAGTTCCTGATCTTCTCATCTGTCTCTGGCATTTTCTGCCCACTATCTGTGTCCTGCCCATCTGGAGTGTGGTGATTGATTGTTCATGTCTGCCATGGGATTGATTGTTCATGTCTGCCCTGTGCACCAGAGTGATGGGTGGTGCCATCGTGGCATCTCTGCTCTGAGCTGGACCTGTTTCACAGACTGGGAAGTTGAACCTGGGCCCTGGCTTATGGCTGTCTGCTCTGCTGGCGCATGGACTTGGCCCTGTCCACATGGCAGGGGGAGATAAAGAGGGGGCTTTGGGCTGACGTTACACACCCATGTGTCACCCACATTGCACACTGCAGCCACATCAGGCCCAGACTTGCCCTTGGTGAGCCCCCAGCCTGGCTGAGGACACCTGTGGCCAACAGTGGAATTGCAGGGTGGTGGAATTGTAGGCAGGAGCAAAAGCAGTGTGGGGAGTGACCGTACCCATACCAGGGCTGGTGGGGACACCCTTCCCCACAGCAGGCCCACAGTGAGTACCCCGTGGGCCCAGCCCTGCCCTCAGCCGCGAGCACCTGCAGAGGAGTGAGGCCGCGCCTCTGTGGCGGGCTGGCCCCATGCCGCCTTTTCTCCGGGGGTTTTGAAGCGTTTCTGAGCCGTTGGTATAAGTCCTCACATATTAAAGACATGAATTCTTCCCTCATCTCTCTACTCGCTGCACTGTGTTTCCCCCTCAGCTTTTCCATTTCTGTGTACCATGGTTTTTGATGTTTGGAAATTTTTCATACTTGGTGGCAAAACGTCGAACTTTTTTCCGTTTTTCAGTTACCTGTCATATGCATAGACCTCCCTAGCAGGTGGCCAGGTGAATATACTTCTGTCTTCTCTAGTAAGTCTTTCCTACTTGAGTTTTGCACACTCAGGGGGAGTGTAAATTTAATACATCTAGAACTTATTTGGCGTAAACGTGAGGCCAAGATTGAACTGTTTTTCCAGTTGCATTTGAACTCCTGCTTTTTTTTTTTTTTTTTTTTTTTGTAATTTTTATTTCTTTCCTGAGAGAGGGTGGGGGGCACAAGCCTGGACCCTCCCACATGGCTTCGGGGGCTCACAGCGTTGTGTGGCCACTGTACCACCACAGCTGCGCATGAGCGATGTGTTCTTTTATTTATTTATTTATCTACTTTTTAAAAAAATAATTACTTATTTGGGACCAGCAGTTAGCGTAATGGCTATGTCGCTGGACTCCCACATTGTTGACTGCGGTTCACGTCCTGGACCTGGTGGCTTAAACTCACGCCGGGCGCGTGTGCGTGCGTGCCCAAGATCCCGAGAGGAGAATGAAGGAGAAGGGATTGCGACGTGATCATCCCCCCTGGGGGGTGATTTCTCGCTTTCTGTCTCTCTTTCCGGTGAGCGCACGCACCCTATAGCAAAAACCTCTCAAAAAATATTTATTTAATTTGATTGATTGATTCATTTATTTTAATTTGACCAGAGAGAAACACAGAGAGAGAGAGAAAGCGAGAAAGTAAGTCACCAGGTCTGAGACTCAAACTGTGGTTGGCCCTGTGGGAGTGTCCAGTGCCTTAACCACCACGCCACCTGCTGGTCCCCTGTTCTTTTATTATTTTTTTTAACATACTTATTTCTTCTGTGAGCAAGAGAGACAGAGAAAGAGGCCCAGTAGCACCCCACCAGGTCTCCGTGTTTTTTCTTTTTCTTTGCTTTTTTAATAGATTTTTGCTATACGATGCGGACGCTCACTGGAGAAACAGAGACAGAAGCAAGAAATGACTCCCTAGGGGAATGGCCACGCCGCAGTCCCTTCACCTCCATTCTCCCTTGGGATTCTGGGCACGCAAGCACAAGTTCCTGGTGTGAGTTTCGAGTCTCTGGGTCTGGGACTCGAACTGTGGTGGACCAAATGGTTGTCCAGTGCCTTAACCACTCTGCCACCTGCTGGCCCCATCTTTATGCTTCTGTCCATCCCTAGCCCCAGCCAGCCCTGATCACAGGCACGTGCCTGCCTGGCATACTAAGGCCTCTGGATGCAAATCCAGAACCTTCCCCCGTGGGTCCCCCTCTCGGAGCATTGCCTTCCACTCCTGCACCACCGTCCAGCACCCTTTTCTGTTCTTTCCTCCTTTTTTTGTTAAATGGGGTGTGTACTCACGAGAGAGAGAGAGACAGAGAGAGAGGAAAAGTGAGAAAGCACCCCCAGGGGTATATCCCTTTCCCTCCAGTCTCCTCTCAGGGTTTTGGGCATGTATACACTTGCACCCAGCATGTTTCTCAAGTCGCCGGATGTGGGACTCGAACCACATAGTTGGCCATGTGGGAATCTAGCTGCTTTAAGCACAACACCATCAATTAGCCTCCTTTTCTTTCCTTCTTTTTATTATTTTTAAATTTTTGGTC